ATAACTGCCTTGTAATTGTTTAAATAGTTAAATCTGGTTCATAATAGTCTTGTTCTTGTTTGTGTTGTTAAACATGAGCTACGAATTTCTGTGTCATGCTCATTATTTTTTAACATGAAATTCAAATAATGGCAAACTTGACAAAAATTATTTTGGTCGCAAATCCGTAAAACATCACTCTCCCCTCTTTTTATTTTTCACAATTTACAGTAGAACTAACTTCTATTAGAGTTATAAATAAATATTATGTGTAAAAATGAACATTGTTTTAATTATTCTATTTTTAGTTAAACCTGATAGTGCTAGTTTGTCTGGTTATACTGGTTCTGTTACCAGTAGAAGTTATATACTGTTAACCTGTACAACAACAACTAGTAACCCATCAGCTACTATACTATGGTACAGAAATAATAAAATAGATGATAACGATGATAATATCAATATTGGGATACTAACTGAAACTAATGGTGACTACAATGGCAAGATATCAGAACAGCAAATAACAATAACAACAAGAGCTGAAGATAACCAAGCAGAGTATAAGTGTAAAGCAAGGAATCCACAAATCACTGGAGATGTTAATTCATATATTGAAACCATTACAGTGTATTGTGAGTAATAAATTATTGAAATTGTATTGTCAATTATTACCTTTTTGACTACAATGTAATCACGCAGCTCCGGTTGTATGAAGGTCAAATGGCCGTTCATGTGTGATAAATCATTTCGTAGTACTCACAAAATAACTCTTTCCGAAAATAAACAAAAGTGTGGGTGCAGTATATTTTGTTGTACACAAATATTGTAATGATAGTTTACAAGTTAAATGAGATTTCAGTATAATACAAAACGATAAGACCGTCTCACATGGTTTTATGCAAAATCAAAGTATTAATGTAAGCATGTTATAATGTAAGTGATATGTTCTAAACTATTGAAGACGAACGGGTTGCAGATAATAACAGACAATAGACAATAACAGTTATTATTATTGTTCTAATTACTTGGACACAGCAAACTATAAACCCCTAATGTAATAGTGTAATCCTAGAAATTACAGAGACACGGTTTAGGAAATTAGTATACACATTTCACTGTATACTCATAAGTTACATTATGTCATAATTTTGCGGTATTCCTAATATTGACGACTTTCTCGGTATTTACAAAATGCAGAATGCTTTTGAAATTCGTAGCGATGTCGATGTCATAATTTACACCTAACGCTGGTCTTTCTATACCAAGTAGTTAGTTCTAGTAGATGTGTAATGATAAGGTTATTACTATGTACTCGGACACTGTAGTCGCACTACAGTCGATACTCCAGCTGCTGTATTATCTTTCTGCATAGTTTACAGTAATCTTATATTATCACACACGTAAATACTTGCAAATGACCTAATGTAAAGTGTAAAGCAAGGAATTCACATATTACTGCTGATGTTTAGAATGTACGTGCTTGTTTCAATGTTTACTTGTCAATGGTGATGATGAAAACATTACAATCAACTTCAGTAAAATTTTGTTCCATCTAAAATTTGTTGTTATAATTCTTTCAATTCATTTATAATCAGTTTCTCCAGTCTACCCGGATGGATGCAGTACATTATTGTCTGGTTACCCTGGTGATAATGGTCATGTCATAGCTGGTGATATTTTGATCCTCACATGCACGTCGTGTAGCAGTAACCCGGATGCTAGTCTGATATGGTACCATGACAACCAAATGATCAACGTTCCAAATCAGCTTGTGTATGTGGATAGTGTATACAGTGGAAGAAAATCAACACAAGAGATGACAATTACATTAACATATCGTCATCATAATAATGAATTATATTGTAAAGCAAAGAACAGTCAGGTGGGACAAAGTAAACAGTCAAATGCAGTGTTCCTTAATGTACATTGTGAGTATTAACTCAGCTTTGGGTCTGGTTGGTCGTTTGTATGTGCCGGTTATGTGTGTACGTCTGTTCATGTAATTTCATAATTTTAATTTCATATCATACATATGTACGTCAATCTATTGGATATGGGCGCCATTTTAGTTGTAGATCTTATTGTCCATAATCAGTTCTCAGAAACATAAAGATCAATTCTAATTATCTCCCTTGACGCGATGAAGATATTGTGATTGGCGTAACAATGATACTTCCCATACTCCATTATTACTTGCGCATATACTTGTTGTTAAATAGTTTGAGAGAATATGTAGCCTTCATAGTTTCAAAGTTATTTTAATTGTTGTTGTAATGGGTTTTAGTAACCAAGTATTATGCTAAACGTGATTGCATATTAGAATGTGTTTGTGATAAACACAGTTATCAACAACAGTGTTAATTTACGTTATGCTAATCAAGTAGAAAATAGAATTAACTGAGTGTGCTTTCTAAACAAACAAACAAACAAACAATTCTAAGATCAAATAATTATGAAACAATTTTGGTTTAAATTTTATACACTCACAAATAATGTGGTTTATGCGTTATAATGAAGTACTACTTACAGATAATTGGATTGTTATACATTGTACTGCAGGAGATTGGTAATACGTTTACTGGACTTCGTCTTATTTAGTTGTGGTGTCATATACTATTTTTCAGATAAACCATTTGTTGTGAATGTATCAAACAATCAGTGGTCGGTTGCCAGTCAAGGAACTGTAGCAGAACTACGATGTGAGATTGAAAGCAACCCACTTTCCACGGTAATATGGTATCGTCCAAATAATCAATCAATACATATTGACAGTAGAACCAGCATCAAAACAGTGTCACATGGAACCTTACATGAAAGCATATTGACAATACAGAATACAATGCTAATAGACTATGGTAGTTATTCCTGTTTCGCAGAAAACGATATTGGCAACACAACATTCATTGTCACGTTCAACGATAACAGTGAGTATTGTCATTTTTCCTATGTAATGTAAAACAGTAATCAATAATTAGAATATGTAGCGTGTGTTATCTACCGTTTGGGTTTGTTCATATTAATGATAATATTACTGGGTTAATATATACCCTACTTTCTATTTGTTTATGAATTGAACTGACAAATATACAATACAATTCACATATAGGCGTTCCAGATGCACCAAAATCCATTGTACCATTGTACCGATACTATGACCGTCTGTCTGTCATTATAATTCCCGGATATAATGGCGGAGATATAAATACAACATACTTTATACAATATCGTACCCGGAAAAATGCATCGTTCATCGAATTGAACACTGGTAGCTCAGATATATCGATTACAATGCAAATACGTAAATTAGAATCGTCAACACCATATGAATGTAGAGCATATGCTGCCAACGCAATTGGTATAGGACCATACAGTAATAGTATTGTAATCAGAACATTGGGTAAGTTTTATGTGAACAAAGTAATGCTAATCCTGAAGTGTGGAAATTGGCGTTTGGAAATGTTATTTATTTATTTATTTTTGTAAGCATTTCGTACTTGATTTGTAAATATGCATTTTCTTTTTATCAACATTATTAAAATGTCATTTATATCAATTTTACTTAAATAAATCAAAATAATAACCAACATTAAAAATATATGGATTTGATATGAATATACGCTATTCATATTCGGAGCCTAATTTAGAAAACCAACACTCGTAACATTAACTGGTGTTATGTTGTTATTATATGTTGTGTTCATGGCACTTATAAACTGGTATACTGTCATTTTTGCTTTGACCAATAAATTACTATCTACCTGCTCAACCACAATACAAACTGTTTAATAAATGTTATTCATTTTAACTCTACATCTGGTTTGAAGTGGTTCAACTCGCATTTAAGTAACTACCTAGCGATAAATTCCCGTTGTTTGTTTTGCTGCAAAGGTTTGTTATATGTTATAGTTATTGTATATAGTAAGAGTTTTCCATGAGCGAAAAGTAGAATAACACAAATAATTTAAATAACGACGCATTAATGGATATCTATCTTAAGAATATTAAAACACGACACATAAAGAGCAAGTAGAAACAACATCATAAGCGCACCATATCTTCTCTATGGCCATTGTGAATATAATAACTAAAATAAAACTGTGATAGTTCACAACGACTCTACACACATACGAAATGGGTAGTTTTTTTTAATTTTTGACCTCAAACACTGTCAGGTTTTTAGTGTGAAACGGGAATACATGATATAAAGTACATATCACAGGATTAAGATGGTGAATGCATTGTCCTATATCAGTACCAGGCTTCTAGTTAAACGTACATAATTTACAATAATATTGATGAAGCTGTGGTTTTTATTTTGTGAATTTATTTGGAATGACGTAAACATGACCAAACCACAGATAATATGACTATTACGTAATAGCAAATTCTTATATTTACATCTAAGTAATATTGTTTCAATAACTCAATCGCAACTGTTACTTTTTTTAGACGAGCCAATTGTGGAACTGGATTATGATACTAGAATACTGAGCTGGACACGTCACGAGAACAAGACATATACATGTGTGAAAATAGAAACACGTCACGTGGATGTCACATGGGATGTTATAGTGAAATGTATCGATAGAAATAAACTTGAATACAAAGTGAATGATACAAATAGAGAATACAGAATTACATATTGCACTGAAGATGGGATTTGTGAAAGTCGTGAATTCTCTGCATTAACAGAGAGTATTAGTAATGGTAATATATTCCAGTTCAACTAAATTATATGTCCGTTATTACAATGTACCGAATTACATGGTCAAATTATCCACTCCTGCATGTACCAGTTGAATCTACCGTATTGCGAGAGCTCCTATGTGTTTCTTTATTTGTTCTCCTTGCATCTAACTGGCGTAGACTAATTCGACAGAAACAGTATATTTTCTACTGAGAAACTGTGTCTACGGACATAATGATAATTAAATCTCCGGTATTCCTCACTGTTGTGACGTCATACTGGTCTCGTGACTGCCCGTACAGCATTATCCTTCCGAGCAGCACGGCCGCTATTTCGAAATAGTCCGTCCGCGATGACGTCACACTCGTGTGAAATACCACGGAATTACATATACGTATTT